GATAGAAACACAGATTGATTTTTTAAAAGATTTTAATGGCCAAACAATTAATTACAAATTTAATACAAGCTATCAAAAATTAAAAATTTGAAATAATGACAATCGCCAGGTATTCGAGCAGTGCTTCCGCACTCCTTATATAGCCCGCCGCGGTATTGCTACTCTTGATTTAGATTGACAAACAAACTTACAAGCACCTGATAATAAGTGGCTACTGCTGCTCATGCACAGCTGCACAAAATTAGTACAAACCAGGGTTACAGATGGGTTATCCCCTCTAAAGACCGATGGAGTACTTCATAGCCAGTAATCAAACTGGCTCTATACCCTTCAGAAGTACAGCAGTGTATGCACTGCCTAGATTGGTACCTACCCAGATGGATTTCTAGGTAGAAAGGAAGTCGCACCACTTAGATGTAAAAAATTTATTTTCAAATATAACAGTATTCAGAAATCATTATTTTCATTCTCATATCATCATCATCGTTACAGCCCTCAAAAGTCCACTGCTGAAAATAGGCCTCCTTCAAGGAATGCCATAACTTTAATAATTTATAGTTATTGATAATAGACAACTATTAACAATAACTATGTAGAAATAGGGATATCCACAATAGAACCAGAGTGACCGACATAAACCAATGAATTAGTAAGCTGAAGTGGCAATGGGCTGGCAATATAGCCCGAAGAACCAACAAACGATGGGGAAAAAAGGTTCTCGAGTAGTCAGCCTTGCACTGGTAGGTGTAGTGTAGGGCAACCCCAACTAGATGGAGTGGTAAGACATGCAGGAAGTTGATGGATGAAGATGGCTCAGGATCATGCTTTGTGGCGTTCCTTGGGGAAGGCCTATGTTTAGCAGTGGACTTGTGAGGGGATTTAATGATTATGATGAACAATAACTATAAAATCTCTTTATCCTTTGTTACTTTATACAACCTAAATATGTGTAGATATAGGAAATGACATGCTTGCATATTTTTAAACTAAGTTAATTTTTTCATTTAGTTCAGTATCACAATGCAATTGCCAAGTTTCTGCTAAGCATGGTGCTTATAGCAAAAACTTACTTTTTAGAGAAACTGTTCAGCAGTGTAATTGTAGCTGATGAACTATGGCAAAACATATTTTTAATATATATATATATATATATAAATATATAAATATATATATATATATATATATATATATATATATATATAAAAATTACATGTCACATTGTCTACTACTACGAAACCACTCAACGTTTTTACGTGGTAGAGCCATGCTGCAGTTATATTAGTGGTATAGTTGTAGCACGAATGGGTCGGCTTGACTGGGTAGGGACCACTCTCACTGTTGTTTCGTATGGTGAGTGCAGAGAACCGGAGTCTTCACTGGTGATAACGCATCTGCATTTAGATTCGTAATCGAGGATGGATTTAGATGTCTATAGGCAACAGCAACCACTTACCATCAGGTGAACTGTATGCTCCTTTGTCACCCTATCCTATAAAAAAAAACGATTTTAATAAATTTTGTAAAAGCATATTGCTTGAGGATAGTTTCCTGATAAGTAACCCACAATATTTTTAATGGACAAAGGGTTGTCGCAAAAGGACAGAAACAAAGTCTGCCTGGTCAGTTAGTATTACATTTCTTTGAAGGATTTTCACATTGAACTGTAGTAGCTCAGAAACAGGCACTTGCATTTCCACTTTGCAATTTGTAAGCAATCCTTGTTTAATCCCTGGTACTGACATCGCTTTCATCAGTTATTAATTTATGCTATGATATTATTTTTCATTCTTTTATACAACAATATCACTTAATGATCTATATTTGTGTTTCAGGCAATTCAAACCAAAGAATGAGAAAATCGTCATCAATTTTACAGGTTTAGACTGGGAAAGCATGAGCCCATCAAAATAACGTATTTTTTATTAATTCATAGTATAAATATGAAATTGACATTGAAAATTATGCATAATTTTGTGATATTAGCTAATAATATATTATATTATGACACATCTTAGTCAATCATGTTTAATGATAATAAAATAAAATCATGTTTAATAATAAAAAAATAAAACTCAAATATTGAATTTGTAAAACAAAATTTTATTACTTTATGTACAAGTTGACAGGGGTACAAAATACTCCAACCTTACAACTCAACAAAACACCAACATGGCTGTGTTCTCAAGTTAACTCAATGAATGTTGAAAACATATCAATAAAAACAGCAAACATATTGTATTCTTATTGAAAGATGTCTAAATCATTGTATATCTTTTATAAAATATTTGAAATTAAAGACATAGTAATCAACCAGATATACACAATACAGCATTTTACTATTGCAGGCTATTTCTTACAGGCTTCATCATAAATTTGTGAACATCCCATTAATTTAACTCACAATAAATTACAAAATACTAAACGATTTTTGAATACAAATAATTTAAACTTTCAATAAAGCAGCAGTATGGTTTATTATATGGTTCACACCAGGTGAAGAATTTTCTAACTAAAGTACACACAGTAACAATTCGGAGTATTCAATTATATAATTATTGTCCAAACTTTACACATATCTACAGATAATCAAAATCAACAAAACTAAAGAGTCACAACTGAGTCCATGTTGCTACTTTAATGTTTACAAATAACATCCTAGATTCCGCACAGTATTCAATAAATTTCACATCGACAGACTTCTGGAGGAATTCTAGAGATATTTTACAATACAAACTTAAAAATAAGAATTATTTACAAAAAGCATACCTCAGTTCAGTAGTCAAATATTGCATGAGGTTTTTAAAAATTGCCACATGTTTATTTCACATGTCTAAAACCAGTCATCAAACATTACATAGGTGAATCCTGTCTCATTTTATTGAACACTTGAGAGGCCACACATATTATAATATAAAAATATTAAAACAATGGAAGGGGTTTTCAAACATATAAAGCAAATATTTTATTATTAACACAAATGAACGTCACCCTTGCTAAAGTACGATGTTTTATTAGCCATTTGAAATAACCTTCCAAAATACAAAAATACAAGTGATAAGTGATTTGTATTAAAAGATATTAAAAAGATTTAGTTTTTCAAAAAACTCAAGGAAAATGAAGTCACAGAATATTTAATAGACTCTAAAATAATACGGAAAACCATTTCTTTGTCTAATATGTGGATATTAAAATACAATAAATAACATTAAAACGTATTCGAATGACATTTTGTCGGGAAAAAATGTATTTAGCTTTGTACGTTATTTTGTTTATATAGAATAAGGGCGAAAACGAGCACATAGTCCACCTGATAGTGAGTGGATTTAGTAGCCCATAGACGTCTCCTCGATTAAGAATCAAAACGCATGTGCGTTGTCACCCCTGACAGCTAAGACAGAACGTCTCGTTACCAGTAAAAAAGGGTATCCGGATCTCTACACTCACCATACGAAACACAGCAGTATTAAGCTGTTGTTTTACGCTGGTATTCTGTGAGAGCGTGGCCCTTCCCCGGTCGAGCCGACCCATTCATGCTACAACTATAATATAGCTGCAGCATGGTTCTACGACGTGTAAAATATTTTTAATTGCCACTGTGATAATGAGTTAGAATGATCCTCAACAGTACAAAATCTATAATCGATTTAAAAGTTCAATATTTTATAAGGAATGGATTTTATTTTTTAGTCTCATTATAAAATATCAAACTGCGGGTAACGCATAGTTAATTTTTAACTTACGGAAAATTTTCAGTTTTTTTTTTATAACAAATATCAAAGAAACAAAACACAAAATTTAGGCGATCTCATTTTTTCTGATCGAGACAACGATCATTTAACATCGATTATTATGGATAGAGACAAGCCAAATATCGATTTTCCATACACAGACTGTATCAAGCCAATAGTATATTCATTAAATACACTTTTTTTTTATTGTAACATAAATTAATAAATATAAAAAAATGAATAAAATGTAATTAGTAGTTTTTCAGTCCACTCAAATTGTGGTGTATTTGTCGATATAGTTTAGTTTAGATATCGATAATATTGTAATGACATAAAAATCAATACGTTTTTTCGATAATATCAATACCATATAATTTCCTAAGGGACTGACTTTGAACCCTTCAAGGGGTGGGAGGGATAATATATTCTAAACCAATTTCCCCTCAAAATCGATTGTAGGTTTTGAACCTCTATTCCGTCTCCGAGCTATAATATCTTTTGAATGCCTTCTTTATCATTGTGATATAATAGTCAAGTATTTTTTTCATACAAAGTTTACATAAATGTGAATGTTAATGAAACAATTGTAAAAATCCATCCACAAGTCCAGTAGCTTTGTGGCCATCTTATTATTTGTGACGCAATTTTATTTTTGATAAATCATCCAACTCTATTAAACCCTTTCAATATTACTCTAACGTCAGTACAAAATGTTTCATGATTCCATATTATAAATAGATTTTTTTGATTTGGAGGCTATGTCATATATGCCTCATTTGAATTTTAAATTTCACCTAAGAGTAAGGCCTTGCCTTTACAAATTATTAATTCTCAGGCAATAGTATTTTATAACATAAATTTTAATTTAATAAAACGAACAATGTAATACCTTAACTGCAATCTATTGCACGTGAGAATTTTCAAAGTAACGCAGTAGGATATAAAAAAGCCTTTAGCCAAGTATTTCCTATTAATCAACTTTTAAAATATTTATAAAAGTGGGCGATTATGAACAGCAGTGATCATGCCATTTGATCGAAGCCATAATTGACCAATAAAAACTTGTAAAATGTCTATTGAGAACAAATTAATTCTAACATGTATCCTATCAACATAACTGTAAAGTAAAAATAAATGTCCGGTAATTTTTAAATAATTTATATTGGCAAAGACCAAAATTGCCAATTTGCAAAATTAAATCGCTATAATGTTGCTCAAATAGCGGATCGTTTCATGCAAATCATAATCTCCCATCTGTATTGTTTATAGTTCTCAGTTGTTGACAGAGATTTCTTTAGGCTGTAGTGGTATATCTTCGACGTGGTTTTCCGCACACTCCTGCATTTGTCCGGGTGGTTTGAAAGCGATCGCGTATGGGAACTTGGTGTGACACGCTTTTATGTATTGCTCTATTTCCTTTTCACAAGGTCCGAAATCACCTTCTCGTAGACTGTCTAAAACTTCAACGCAACCCTGTAAAAATAAGATATTTTTAAATTATTAAGTTTTTAGTAACTTACAACAGTGGAATGCAGAGAATCTTACCTCCGCAATGTAATCCTTAATTTTAACTTCCCACTGAGATATATTAGATCTAAAGTACTGAACATTTTACCGATGTAGTGGAGCAATATTTTCGACAATGTCTGTCCAGACAAAGAGAGAGACAAAATCGGCCCACAATCTGGACAATGAAAACAGTAACACCGGGTGTGTTCCGTTCCTATATCCTAACTAGTAATTTTAGTTCGGTATACACCACAACCTATAAGAACCTAGACGAGATAGTAACGTGTTTTAGTTCCACTACAGACAAAATCTGTATAATGTTGCTTTATTACAAGTGTGAATATGAATTTTGCGTTCTCCCCTTGCTCCATATTACACTACAATCAGTCGAGCCTAACCTTAAGAGGATACCTTGAAAATGAATCGAAATTTTGGGGGCGTGGCTTATTCCTTTGTCGGTGAAGCTAACGGACGACTGCGGGAGTGTCAAAATGAAAGTGATGCAATGACTTCATAGTACGCAAATTATAAGATAGCCATTATGAGCAAGCACTCGGAAAAAAACTAGTAAGCGCCAAACAACATTTTTATTTATTGTAACAAAACTTCGTTATGGATTATAAAACTGGTTTATGAGAACTTAGATATGATTATTTACTATGCCTTAAAAATAATTCCATGAAATTATTCGAAAAAATATTGTGGTGCCATCGAGAAATGTAAATAATTAGAGCCTACTTTGCAATTTTTTTTCTATAGAGAAAATTACATGATATCGTGTTTTAAACGAGGAATAGTCCACTATTCTGCTCTTGCACGGGTCGGCTCGGCGTTTAGGAAAGTCGCGTTTCATCAGTCGAACACATGGTAAGGCAACGTTTAATAATACAATAACTAATTCGTACCGCTGGCACCGAATGTCGCACTTTTTTAGCATACAAAACAATCAGTGGCTTTTTCCATAGTTACGACACAAACGGCACGGAATGAATAGATCAAAATGGATCCTAATTTATCAGTGGCTTTTTCCATAGTTACGACACAAACGACACGGAATGAGTAGATCAAAATGGATCCTAATTTAACATATATGCATGCAATGGCGGTCACAAAGCTTGTTCTGATGTACGGTTGTGAAGCTTGGACACTAATCCAGAAGAGAGAGAACAATCTTAGCACTTACACAAGTTAGTACTACCAGTTACACGACTCCATCGAGTCAGTAATTCATTCTTGGGGCGATGCTATACGCTTTTACAACAAAATCCCAGAAAATATACAAAAAACTAAGTTTGTATAAAAAGGGTTATTATAATATTAAGGAATTTATGGATGATAATAACCCCTGGGAAGGGTGATCGCTACTAAGATATTTCTAATTTGTTTTGTGTTGTTAATTGTGACACATAATTGTAAGCTATTATTTGAAAAAAAAAAGGTCCTGCTGGGTTTCTTGCTGGTCCCAGGACAGAGGTTTTCCTAGCGAAGTGGTAAAGGAAAAAAGTGACTTTAAATAAGAATTGTTTACAATCTATATTGAACAAAAGAAGGGCAGCTAGAGGGTCCGGAAAATTCTGAATTAGAAAAAAACTCCTGGCCGAGCCAATAAATAAAGCATATCTGGGTCGATTGTTTGGATTAAAGTCCAGTTGGTCAACAAATATCGCTGGTGCGACCAGGTGGAAGATGACCTGCGGGTTAATTTAAGGTAGTAACAACTGACATGAGGTTGCGCAGAGTTTATAATTGTTAACAATGGTGTCAACTCCTTAATTGACTTATTCTTCTAGGTTCTTCATTCATAATAGCCAGTGTATACCAGCGCTCACTTGTATGTAGAGGAATAAGGTATTTAGTAGCTCGCATTCTAGAGATGATGTCTCAGCTTGGGGCGTAGTGTTGTAGGGTGTTGGTGAGGCTGAAAGAGACTACCAAGTCTACAGATAGCTCCATTAAAGGAGATTTTTTTTTCATAAAATTTCGAACTTTATCCATTTTAGTCCCACGATTAGCTAGGGAGGAAATTTCGTCACCCCCGGCAGAGCCCTGCATGTCGAGAGAAGGGATAAAATACTACCCGAATCGCCCTGATCAGAAATAAATAAACTAAACTACAGATACACCTAAAAGTAAAAGAATTAAAACGTTAAAAATTGGTAAAAAATTAAAGAACACGCCACTGAGGCATTGTTTTGTGTATACATACACAAGAAACCGAAAAGCTTTTCTAAAACGCAACTTCAACGATGAAGACATTGTTTGACCATCTGTATAACTGGTAAATTCACCTCAGACCCAATTTGAATTAAATAATTTTTATTCGATATTCATCATCATCATCACAGCCCTTCACAAGTTCACTGCTGAACATAGGCCTCCCCAAGGTATGCCACAAAGCACGGTCCTGAGCCACCTGCATCCATCGACTTCCTGCATGTCTTACCAGGTCACTCCATCTAGTGGGGGGTCGCCCTACACTTCGCCTACCGGTACTACCGGTATTCGATATTAATTACACGTAATTCTGATTTAGTCATTTTGTACTTTTATCACTGATTCCGAAAAATCCTATGTCGTGGGAACAACCAGCAAGAAACCCAGCGGGATTTTTTTAAATAATATTAATTTACAATATATTATTTTATAAAATTAATGTGAAAAAATTTAGAAACAGTGACTGCCTCATTCCCAGGGGTTATTAGGGGGTATAACGACCACCTTATTTCCAGGGGTTATTTATCAATCATGTAGCCTTTAGTAGTATTATAACCCTTATTAAACAATTTTTGCCTAATAAAAATTTTAAACTTTTGACACATAAGGTCCGTATATTTTCTAACGACATCTGGTGATTACGTTCATCAGGATTATTAGCCCCCACTGCAATGGTTTAAAGCTGTTCTTCCCCCGGGTATTCCGACATTCCGGCTCACCTGTATGGACAAGTCCGGGAAGTGCAGCGCGGTGGCGGTGGCGAGCGCTTGGTGCGTGCGCTCGGGCAGCAGGCGACACATCGCGCGCGCGCCCCACAGCGCCGCCGCCTGCGACCGGCTCGCGCCCGTCTCCATGAACTCCTCCGCCATTTGTAGCGCGCTCCGCCCGCGGAACATCTGCACATTTGTATTTATATATTTTAATTTACATTAAATAAAAGTAATTCAAAACACTAAAAGAGTAAAATAATTTCACAGTTTTGAACATAGTCTGAAACAAAGTGTATACGAGGAGTGATCCAAAAGTAATGATAATCAGTTATTTCCAGTGCACATAAAATTCAACTAGTACCCACTAAATCGGTATAAAAAAAGTGATATACAGGGAGGTACATTCATTTGAATACGAAGATCATCTAAGAGATAACATCAAAATGGAGAAAAACAAAATTAGAGCTGTCATCATGTACCTGTTTAAAAATAAATAGCTACTAATGACATACACAGCGACTTGGTGGTTTCTGCCCAGCATGCAACTGTGAAAACTATTGGAAAATTCTGCTCCTCCATATTCCACAGTTGCACGCCAAGGAGTTTAAACCGGGCAGAACATCCACGAAAGATGAACATCGCGAAGGATGCCCATCCACGTTCCTCACTGAACATAACATGAAAAAAGTCGACGATATCCTACCGACAGATCGAAGAGCATATAGTATATAGCTGAGGTCACAGGAATCTCATATGGCAATTTTCAAAGAATCCTTACGAACGAATTGCATGAATTGCACGTTAGGTAATGAGAATGTTAAACAATGAGCAAAAGAAAAAAACAAATCGACATTTCGAGGCTGAATCTCGTAAAGTTCCAAGCAGATCAGGAAAATTTTTATCACGTTTCGTGACGAGACCTGGATCCACCATTTTAATCCCGAAACAAAACAACATTGGTTGGAAACGACCCTCCTCACTAACGCTGAAGAAATACAAACAATCGCGCAAAACCTCTAGTTACATATGCAGTAAAGGCTAGCGATTTTTCACTCCCCTACCTTGGAAAGCACTTAAATTCGTTGGTCCTGCGCCTGATCTCCCTACATCACTGGGTTTACCGTTCCGTCGGAGAATGTGTACCTATGCTTGCGCATACACTTGGACACTGTCAATGGCGAAGCGTCCATAGAAGCCGAGAAACCGGGCTTGCTTTATCAAACTGAATCAATCAATAATATCAACTAATAAAATAACTTCTGTTTCAAACTATTTCAAATTTTCCGCGCGCTATTCTGTTCGACAAAGATCATGAACTCGTATAGCCTTAGCTACTGCTGTCATAAAAAATGAGTTTTAATTGAGCGATTAATCGTCTCTCTCACACGCGTGGCCTTTTAACTTAACGGGGCTTTCGAGAAGACGATCGCACCCTTTCTGAACTGAATGTTCTATAATGTAATATAACTACGATTGTATATATAGCAATTAGTATAGAGAAAAAGCCAGTCTTTAGGAATGAAGTTGTCGAGATCTGAGGCGCGCGGGCGATACGTTTGCAAGTTTACTTCACATTTCAATATTTATTTACTCTGTGTGTTTAGCTTAAGCGATTTAATATTGCGAGTTGAAAATTTAGTGAAAATAGAGGATAATAGTGTTCCTTGTGATGAACTGAAGTGTGTTAAGCCCCATTTACATTCAGCCACTGCCACTGCTCCTCGCGCTGCCGGCAATACTTCCCTAAATACTGCCGTAGCAGGATCGCGGGAAATGTGTATTTACACTCTGCCCTACCAGCCTACCACTCACATCGCTTTCGGCTTTCGACTAAGGCAGACGTCGAAATAATTACAGCGTCCGCGCTGTGTCTTCTTGCAATACAAAATTATGTTAATAATTTAAAAAGATATCAAGTTCAAAAGAAGATAGATATATAGATAGAAAATTTATTAGCTTAAAAACGTGGTACATAAGATGATCAATGACGTGGAACTGACATGTTTTGCCATAATTGGCATGCAAAAATGCACAAACCCAATGTTATATTTTAAAATTATTGCATTGCCTAAAAGTTAGGTGCAAACATTCTTTTTGAATTAAAATATTATGTATTAATGAAATACTTATACAGATCCACTCTATTTGAATTCTTATACAATAAATTGTTCCTAAATTATTAATTGAATTATTACATTATTGTTCATAAATAATATTAAATATTATATGAGATTAGTTAAGCTATTATTATTTTAATAATTACACTACAGTATAAAATAATTCATAATTTTAATTGCAATAAAATTATAATTTAAAAATCTCAGGCTATTATGCATTTAACTTATTTTACATTTTAATAAATAAATAGTCAATATGAGTTACTAATCGTTTTTAGAAATAAAAAGTCAATGTTCATTAATTCCTTAAACTAAATTTTATATTAAAATAATAAATTTGACGAATTTATAATTAATTATGTACATAGGTACAATGTTATCTCAAAAAAGAAAGTTCGTATTCGTAGAAGATGATGAATTGTGGTTTTTATCGTTGAAATCCCATAGTTTTTTCTGATTCCAGCAGTTCTAAAAACTTTATTGTATTTTCATTATTCCACTCGAAAGGCATTTTGGTAGATCGTACTTATTTAATAACAAGATGGCACGCACGTCCGTTCATCCAGGCGCTTGGCGCGAAGTGAGCGATGGAGCTGAATGTGAACACTCACTGCCGCTCGCGCTGCCCGTCCTTTGACTTCCGCACAAAAGCCGACATTTGAGCGAGCGTAGGACAGTGGCAGCGGCAGCGGCAGTGTCAGCGCGAGTAGCTTGTTTACAGACTGCCCTGCCCGCAGCCCTGCTCACTTCCCTGCCCAAACGGGCTGAATGTAAATGGGGCATTAAAGTGTTAATCGAAAAGGAAAAGGTAAAATCTTTAAACTTTGTTGAGAAAATATACAAGGTCAAGAGTGTCTTTCATACATATCAATTATCGCAATTAAAAAAAAACAGTTACTGGTACAATTAAAACGTTCATCAACATTTTACGCGGACGTTATCAAATCTTTCCTTAAAAAAGAGAGAAGATTCTATTTACAATGTAAATAATTTGTTATTTTTTTAATGTTGTAAATAGTTTGTTTGTACTTTGTTCATGCTTTACTTTTGTCCATGTATTATATTGTATGTAAATATCTTTTTCTTTCGCTCAAACATACCCAAACGGCTTTTTACCATCTAAACTATGCAATTGCTTAAATATCATACAATCTATCTAGCAATAGTATGCCTTCCGTGTGCTTTGTTAAACACGTCGTCGACAGCACTGCATATGAAACTGAAGAGTTAGATCAAGATTGGTATAATTTTATAAAACTGCTAAAAACAATCTATATCTTCTAAAAACAATCAATTTATATCTTGGGCTTGCCCTAGTTTGGAGCCCTAGCTTCGCCACTGGACACTAATCCTATCCCGCGCAGATGGCTAGTCTCCGTTGAGAGTGGCCGACGTGACCGAAATTCGGTCTGTAGGACATTAGTGTTATATAAAGAAGAATTAAAACCCGAAATTCCGACTTATGGCTATTATTTATAGTTCTTCGAAGACGACTTTTACTTTTTATTAAAAGTTACATTGAAAACTTCATTACATTACTGGTTACATTAACATTTATAACGGCCCTTAGGAGTAAAATTTATTCTCCAAATTTATAAAGGTCCAACCACTAGTTATACCTATTCACTAAAAAAATCTTCAATATCGGTTCACAATGAACGTAGATATCACGTAACATACATATAAAATACACAATAGAATTGTATAATTTTACGCAGGTATTCTATGAGATCCAAACTGATTTAAATGTAAATAAATTCCTTTTGTTTTAAATAAAAAACAATTTACGCACAAAAGTGCTCGTGTCTCTACACATCAAATCACTGCTCCGCAATTGTAGACATCCAGGTCCAGCTGTATACTATCTAGAAGCTGTTGAAGTAAAAAAACATATGTCACTGACCGGTTGCGTCTCAGCGGTGAGCACTGCGGCGACGTTCGAATTCAGGTCTTTAAGCGCAGCGTCCATCCAGCGCTGGAAGCGAACCAAACAGTCGTGCAAGTGGTGGTGATCACTGTCCAGCCGCCACGCGCGCTTTAAGCTTTGCAGCATCAGCAGTGGCTTTTCTGCGCAACCAAGTTAAGAGACGTCAATTATTGATCACGATGTCTTGCTGCCCGATTTCGACCATGGCAACAACTTCTAGACAATGAAATACACGTTTTTCTAGAAATTAATTATTATTTTAAGCTGACAAAAATATATATAACAAAAATAAATATATATAATCCCTAGTGCCTCTTTTTTGTCAACGATAATTCACACGAATGTGACGTGACTTCAAGTTGAGATGTATCATTCCCATCCTTTTTTACTAACGTTATCGATTGTGGAAAAGTACCCGATTATCTCTGCGAGCAGTTTTTATTGTTTTAAAGAAAAACGTAACCCACACACTAGGATTTTCTCGTGTATCGTGGAGGCAGTTTAATAACTTCTTTTTTAAATAATAATTTTCTTTTAAATAATAATTTCACTAGGACAAACATCAGACCTGGAAAAATTATTTGTAGGCCATAAAATTACTTGTTCTGTGCGGGATTCGAATCCGTTGCCCTCAGCGACGCAATTCATTGCTAAGCCACTGCGCCACGGAGCCGTCAATGTTGATGATAGAACGTAGACAACGTCGTATTAACTCAGAATGTTACCTTTCCTAAAGTATATTTCGAAGGCCATTAAATGTGTCTCTATTCTATCCGCGGCGAGTGTTCGCAGCGGTAACAGGAACTTTATTGCTTGCTCTAGAGGATCCTCCGCCTGTAAGAAACAGAGAAATGACTTTATGACAAGCCACATATGAAAAAAATCGCCATTAATCAATCGCCACGACTAAAATTGGAAGTGCTGTGTAAAACAGTTACTTGTATATGGACTATAGTGTTAAATATTTAAATGTTTAGTGTTGATATAATTTAAAGAAATCTTATACGAGGAAGCAGATAGAAACGCTATTAATATACTACTTGAAGTATTAGTAGTTGAAGGGAAGGATGTCACTACACATGGCATGTATACCGCATACTGGTCTGGTGTAGACGAACTCGAGCGGGCATGCCAGGGAGTAGGTATCATCCTATCAGAAAGAATGGTGCAATGTGTGAAAGAGTATGAATGTGTAAGCCCAAGACTGCTATGGATACGATTGAAAGTGGGCTTAAAGAAGTTGTTTGTGCTAGGGGTCTACGCCCCAGACATGTCTAAGCCCACTTATATCCGAGAGCAGTTTTGGGAAATGGTAAGGATGGTATTAATGAAATGTAAGGGAAATGAAAATGTTGTTATGCTAGGAGATTTTAATGGAAGAGTTGGGGTGAGGAGGCTTGGTTATGAAAGGATATTGGGAACGTTTGGTGATGAAAGTATAAATGAGAATGGTGAAAGCCTCCTCACTGTACGTATGGAAAAAAATCTTTTTGTGACGAACACTTTCTTTCGCCACAAGAGGATTCACATGTACACTTGGGAAAGAGGTGATGATAGAAGCATGATAGATTTCATAATTGTGGATGAAAGATTGAGGGGCACAGTGGTGGATACAAGGGTTTACCGGGGGTCAAACGTAGGAACGGATCATTTTTTGGTTTTATGCCGAATTAATGGTCTATTCAGGCGGTGGCGCCATCGGTCATCTGTGTCTACCACTGCGTTACAGCGTATTAGAACAGAAAGATTACAAGATGAAGGTGAAAAACAAGTTTAAATGTAGACTGAAAGAAAACGTAAGTGGTTTGGATGAATTATGTATGAATGAGGTAGACTTGGAGAATGTATGGCAAAATGTTAAGAAAGGTTTAGTAGATGCAGCTACCGAAGTATGTGGTGTTAGTAAAAGAAAGAATGAAAGGAAAAATAATACGTTATGGTGGGATGATGAGATACGTACGGAAGTTGAAGCAAAGAAGAGAGCATGGCTAGATTTACTAGCAACTAAGGCTGGTAATTCTAGCGGTACGAATGATGATTTTGAAAGAAAAAAGGCAGCCTTTAGACATCTAAATAAAAGAGTAAAAGAAGTAGTTGAAAGGAAAAAGCAAGAAAGAACGGATAAGAATGATAGAAGAATATCGGATAACTTCCAGGCAAATATTAAAATGTTCTGGAAACTCGTAAGAACTGCCAGGGGATGTTCAAAACAGCCTATAATGAATGCTATAAGAGATGAGAATGGCTATATTCTGAATGATGAAGTTTTGAGTTTAAAGAGATGGAAGGAATATTTTGAAAGCATGTTTATGAGTGAGGAGACAACGTATGAACTGAATGAAATAGGTACTCCGAAAGAAGATGAACGAGGTAGCGAGATAAGTATAGATGAAATAATGAAAGCAATGAAAAGCATGAAAGCAGGTAAGGCTGACGGATATGATAGAGTTTCACTCGAAATGCTAAGGGCTGGGGAGGAGATGGTGGCAGGCCTGCTGCACACCTTGTTTAATTTATGCTGGGAACTGAAGCGGGTACCGGGAGACTGGTGCAAAGCCGTGATAGTCCCAGTATATAAGGGAAAAGGGTCGCAGCAGGACTGTAAAAACTACCGCGGTATCAGCCTTCTTAGCATCGTGGGAAAACTGTATGCCAAGGTACTAATTGCAAGGGTCATGAAAAAAACCGATGGAAAAATTTGGGATGTGCAAGCGGGATTTAGAAAGGGAATGGGATGTACAGATCAAGTCTTCTCCACTTCTCCATTGGAATCTCTTTATAGGGACTCTAGTGCTTGTGTTAGGATCAACGGGGTCTACTCTGACTGGTTTGGCATCCATAAAGGTGTCAGACAGGGCTGTGTGGCTTCCCCGTGGTTGTTCAACCTATTTATGGACAGTTGTTTGCAAAATTTGAAAGTTGAAGAATGCGGATTAAGAATGGGTGAGTTAACCATCAAATGCCTTTTGTACGCCGATGATCAAGTTATTCTTGCGTCGTCGGCGGCTGAGTTGCAAATGATGGTTACATTAATGAACAGATCATTAAAAGAAAGGGGTATGAAAGTGAACGCCAGTAAGACAAAAATTATGGTTTTTGAAAGAGATGAAAGTAAAACGATATGTGAAATAAGAATAGAAGGGGAGTTGATCGAGCAAGTAGATGAGTTTGTATATTTGGGTTGCGTATTTAGCAGGGTTGGGTCATTTGATAAGGATATAGAACGACGAGTGAACGCAGGAAACAGAGTAAATGGAGCCCTGCACTCTATTGTGAAGAGTCAAAATGTGTCAAAAAAGGCACGTATGGCAATTCACAATGCTGTGTTGGTCCCTACTTTAACGTATGGTAGTGAAAGTTGGGTATGGCAGAAGAAGCACGAGAGTAGAATAAATGCAGTAGAAATGCGGTCGTTAAGGAGTATGTTAGGGCTGAATCTGAATGACAGGGTGAAAAATTGTGTGATAAGAGAAGAGTGTGGTTTGCAAGATGATGTTGTGACCAGGATTAAGAAAGGAATGCTTCGGTGGTTTGGTCATGTGGAAAGAATGGATGAGGAAAGAGTGACAAAGAAAATTGAAAAGTGAAGGCGAAAATTTATCGACCAAATTGGCGATTTATTGAAAACGGGCCAAATTAGGAGTACCCTTAACCGACGAGCATGCATGCGTAGGTGTATGGATGTGAAGGAGGCGAGAGAGGTGTGTCAGGATCGTGCCAAATGGAAGTCTGTAGTCTCTGCCTACCCCTCTGGGTGACAGGCGTGAGTGTTTATGAATATGAATTGAAGTATTTTGTAAACAAATGTTTGTTAGAACTTTCGACTGACTTAGCCCTTACTTGCTGACTTCATAAATTTTTTTTTTTTTTTTTTTTTTTTTTTTATAGAAGAGGGGGCAAACGAGCATGTGGCTCACCTGATGTTAAGTGACTACCGCCGCCCATGATCAACCGCAACACCAGGGGAATTGCAGGTGCGTTGCCGGCCCTTTAGAAAGGAGTAAGCTCTTTTCTTGAAGGTCCCCAGGTCGTATCGGTTCGGAAAAATCACCGGTGGTAAATTATTCCACAGAGAGGTTGTACGCGGAAGAAAACTCCTTTTGAAACGTACAGTGGTGGACCGCCAAGCATCCAGATGGTGTGGATGGTATCGGGACGTTTGCCGTGTAGTGCGTTCACGAAATTTGGCGGCTGGGATTAATCCGAACAATTCCTCAGAGCACTCCCCGTGATAGATGCGATAAAATACGCAAAGAGATGCAACATCTCTTCGCAGCGCCAGTGAATCGAGCCGATCGGAAAGCACTCGGTCGTCGACGATTCGAGCCGCTCTGCGCTGGATGCGGTCAAGTGGAAGGAGCTGGTACTGGGGAGCCCCAGCCCAGAGATGGGAACAGTATTCCATGAGCGGCCGAACCTGCGCCTTGTAAAGTTGCAGGCGGTGTGCCGGCATGAAATACTGTCCCGCTCTGCTGAGCACGCCAAGCTTTTTAGAGGCCAATTTGGCCTTCCCTTCCAAGTGACCACGAAACTGCACGTCACTCGATATGTCGACGCCGAGGATTCCGATACTGGCTGAGGCAACAAGGGGAGTGCCTTGAAACTGAGGGGATACGACAAAGGGGTTCTTTTTAGCGGTTAACGCGCAAACTTGTGTCTTCTGGGGGTTAAACTGGACTAGATTTAGTCGCCCCCAATCCGAGACTCTGTCCAGCAGAGACTCGACTTCAGACACAAGTTTGTCCCGGCACTCAGAGACGTTTTCCCGAGAAATATTTGCTCGGCCGGTGTAAAGAGCATCACCAGTGCTGTCATCTGCATAGCAATGAATGCTACGGGTTTGCAACATATCATTGATATGCAGAAGAAACAGCGTTGGCGATAGCACGCAGCCCTGTGGAACACCAGCATTAATAAGCTTGCAATCGGAGCTTGCACCGTCTACAACGACCTTGATGCTCCGATCTGCAAGAAAACTGGTGATCCAATCGCACAATTTCTCGGGAAGCCCATAGGAAGGGAGCTTCGAAAGAAGCGCTTTGTGCCAAACCCGATCGAAGGCCTTCGCAATGTCCAAACTAACGGCCAATGCCTCCCCCTTGGACTCTACTGCCTCCGCCCATCTGTGAGTTAGGTAGACCAGAAGATCACCAGCTGACCTACCACGGCGAAAACCGTATTGGCGGTCACTAATCAGCTGGTGATCCTCAAGGTACCTCATGAGCTGGCAGTTTACAATGGACTCCATTGTTTTGGAGAACAAGGAGGTGATGGCGATAGGCCGGTAGTTGGACGGGTCTGAGCGGTCGCCTTTTTTAGGGATCGGGTGGACGAAAGCCGTCTTCCATGATTTTGGGACTACGCCTAGGGAGTAGGAGTACCGGAAAAGACGCGTTAAAACCGGTGCCAACTCTGGAGCACACGTCCTCAGCACAATTGGGGGGATTCCATCAGGCCCACTCGACTTATGGATGTCCAGGGAGAGGAGTGCTTTGCGAACCGAGCGCTGAGTGAAGTGCACTTCCGGCATGGAGCACTCACACCGCGGGATGGTCGGCGGCGTACTCCCCCCGTCATCGAGAGTCGAGTTAGACGCAAAGAAAGAGCCTAGAAGATCGGCTTTCTCCTTTGCGGTGTGGGCCAGTGAGTCGTCCTCCCTGTGCAGAGATGGAAGAGATGGCTGACAGAAATTCCCCTGGACAGCCTTGGCGAGAGACCAGAATGCACGGGTTCCAGAAGGAAGACGAACTAGTCTCTCGCCAATTCTGCCTATGTGCTCTGACTTTGCCTTGGCAATGACTCTTTTGAAGGACCTAGAGGCGGAATTATACTTCTTTTTTAGAGCGCTGGTGTTTACATCCCTGGACGCTGATGCGTCAGCCCAGGCTTGGTAGCACTCCTGCTTATAGCATGATGCTATTTTACAGGAGCGACCAAACCATGGCTGAGATTTGCCTCCAATGGGCACCACAGAGGAAGGAATAAAAAGTTCCATACCCTGAAGTACCACATCAGCGACAGAATCCGCAACAACGTTGGGATCATCCGGCGAGAAGCAAACCCGCCCGCAAGGGTAGGATGCAAAAAAAGACCGCATCCCATCCCAATCAGCTGACCTATAGTGCCAAACACGGCGGCAGCCTGCAGAATGCAACCGCGATTTCAGCGTGAGTGGCACCACACTCCGGACAAGACAATGATCCGAGGAGCCTAAAGGGGCGTCGACGGAAATCTGATATCCGTCCGGGTGAGAGGTCAGCAGAAGGTCCAACAGGGAAGGTGCATGATCCTCCACATCTGGAATCCGCGTAGGCGAAGTAACCAGTTGTGTCAGACCATATGCCAAGGCAAAATCACGAACAGATCTCCCCCGCATGATCGGTTAAACGTGAACCGAGCCATTCGGCGTGATGGGCGTTGAAGTCGCCGAGGATCACGATCTCTGCGGAGGGGATCTGCTGTAGCAACGAATCTGCAGCCATTTGGACGTGGTCGAAGAGTCGGTCTGTTAATAATTTTATTTGGAAGAAGAAATGCGGTTTGGCCTTAAATTCCGTTCATTCTGTCTTTGCTTAAATGTTTAAATTATTACGTCATTCTTTTTACTTTTAGAATAAACTGTTTCTAAACACCTATATCTTTTCCCAACTTCACTTTTTTTAAATTCTTATTTTCAAATATCTCTTTTTTCATTCATCATTCAATTGTTTATTATTCTAACAATAGGTACTTATTGGTCCAGAAGCAAAAATTTAATGAGTAAATACGTAATATTATGGTTTACAATAAACAGTATCATACCCTAGCCAATTTATCTGGTATAAGTTCATCCAACTGAGGCGCCTCGGGATCGCCTTGTTCTTGCTGTTGCCGCGCCTTGTGATGTTGCTCACGTTTCACCTGAAATCGATTACAAATTTATTTTTAACAAAAAATGTTGTCACTATCATCACTTCTCCCGATATTTGCCGTATTATCTGAAAAAATAGTTTGGTAAATCCAAATGTGCATGCCTAAAGCGCTCATGTTATAAGTTATTTTTTAAAAGTAGATACACAAGTTTTTACTAATAATCTTATTTCTATACTTCAAATTTTCGATAATTTTATGTCAAACGTCAATAAGCAGGAGTGCCTTCAGGCCTGGACTGACGCATCAGCGTCTCGGGATGTAAACACCAGCGCTCTTAAAAAGAGGTATAATTCCGCCTCCATTTCTTTCAAGAGTCATTGCCAAGGCAAGGTCGAAGCACATCGGCAGAATTGGCGACTAACTAGTTAGCCTTCCTTCGCGAACTCGTGCATTCTGGTCTCTCGCCAAGATTGTCTAAGGGAATTTCTGTCAGTTATCTCTTCCATCTCTGCCCAGAGAGGACGACTCACTGGCCCATGCCGCAAAGGAGAAAGCCGATCTGTTAGGCTCCCTCTTTGCATCCAACTCGACTCTCGATGACAGCCGGAGCACACCGCTTACTATCACGCGGTGTGAGTGCTCCATGCCGGATGTGCGGTTTACACAGTACTCGGTTCGCAAAGCACTCCTCTCCCTGGACGTCAGCAAGTCGAGTAGGCCTGATGAAGTCTCTTCCATTGTGCTGAAGACTTGTGCTCCGGAGTTGGCACCGGTTTTAACGCGTCTTTTCCGGTACTCCTACTCTCAAGGCTTAGTCCGGAATTCATGGAAGACAGCTTTAGTCCAACCGATCCCTAAAAAAGGCGACCGCTTAGACCCGTCCAACTAACTACAGGCCTATCGCCATCACTTCCTTGTTCTCCAAAATAATGGAGTCCATTATAAACTGCTAGCCCATGGGGTACCTTGAGGATCACCAGCTGATTAGTAACCGCAAATACGGTTTTCGTCGTGGTCGATCAGCTGGTGATCTTCTGGTCTACCTAACTCATAGATGGGCGGAGGCAGTAGAGTCCAAGGGGAAGGCATTGGCCGTTAGTTTGGACATAGCGAAGGCCTTCGATGGGATCTGGCACAAAGCGGTTCTTTCGAAGCTCCCTTCCTACGGGCTTCCCGAGAAATAGTGCAATTGTATCACCAGTTTCCCTGCTGATCGGAGCAGCAAGGTCGTAGTAGACGGTGCTGATTACAAGCCTATAAACGCTGGTGTTCCACAAGGCTGCGTGCTGTTACCAACACTGTTGCTTCTGCATATCAATGATATGTTGCAAGCTGGTAACATTCATTGCTATGCAGACGACAGCACTGGTGATGCCTTATACACCGGCCGTGCCAATATTTATCGGGAAAACGTCGCCTAGTACCAGGACAAACTTGTGTCTGAAGTCGAATCTGCTGAACAAAGTCTCGGATAGGGGGCGTAATATATCGGGCTAAATCTAGTCCAGTTCAAGCCCCAGAAGTCACAAGTTTTCGCGTTTACCGCTAAAAAGAACCCCGAAGAAAGAAGAAAAGAAGAAAAGAAATTATTTACATTCTAATGGATAAGAGATAAGGATAAAATAAGTGGAATCGTCTCGCTTTCTTATGGAAAGATTTAATTACGTCCACGTAAAATGTTGGGGAACGTTTTAAATGTACCAATAACTGTTTTTAATTGCGATAATTGATAAGTCTGAAATACACTCTTAACCTTGTGTATTATCTCAACAAAGTTTAAAGATTTCCTCTAATATTATCACTTTAACACACTTTAATTCATCACAAGGAACACTATTATCCTCCATTTTCATTAAAAATCTTTAAAAAAGCATAAATTTTGAACTCGTAATATTAAATCGCTTAAGATAAGCACACAGAGTAAATAAACATTGAAACGTGAAATGAACTTGTAAACGTATTGCCCGCGCGCCTCCGCTTTTAACAAATTTATTCCCAAAAGCCTGGCTTTAAATCTCTATACTAATTGCTATATATACAATCGTAGTTATATTTCATTATAGAATATTTTGCTATAGGTTAGAAAGAGAGCGATCGTCTTCTCGAAAGCCCCGTAAAAAGCCCACGCGAGCGAGGTAGTCAACTATTAGCTCTATTAAAACTCATTTTTTATGACAGCAGCAGTATCGCTAAGGCAATACGAGGTCATCGGTCGACATGTGTCGAGCAGTGGAGTGCGCGGGAAATTTGAAATAGCTTGAAACATTTTACGAGTTATTTTATTAGTTGATATTATTGATTGATATTATTGATTGATTCAGGTTTAATAAGGCAAGCCCGGTTTTTCGGCTTTAATGGAAGCTTCGCCACTGCGTATACTTGGAGTTATCTTCCTCGTACAAATTCTCTATGCAATTATTTACCACCGGCGATTTTTCCGGACCGATACGACTTAGGGACCTTCAAGAAAAGAGCTTCTCGTTTTTAAAAGGCCGGCAACGCACCTGCAATTCCCCTGGTGTTGCGGTTGTTCATAGGCGGCGGTAGTCACTTACCATCAGGTGAGCCGCATGCTCGTTTGCCCCCTGTTCTATAAAAATAAAATAAAAAATAAGTTTTTTCCCAGACTCGTTACTAAAAAAAATGTCTCATCAACTTTATTTCGTTTTCAAAAAGTTTTTCATTTAGTCATAACCTCACGAATCAAGAAGAATGATTTTAGTCCTCTATTTTATGTAGTTGTGGAAATAGTTTTATTTGTAAAGTTTAAAACCTCCGATTTTTTAAAAAAACAAATTCATTCTTCTCATAATTATGAAGTGAGTAAAAAGTAAATTGGGATAAAGAAATTGATTATTATTATTATTATCGCAAATATTATTATTAAACGAGTTGAACGCCATTACTTGTTGCAGCGAACAAATATAGAAAATAATTATCTACTGTACGCTATAAGAATAATCTGATAAGATATATAATACCAATGAGTTATTAAAAATAAATTTTAAGAAAATAACTTTATTTACAATTTAATTTTAAACTTCTCCACGATATTATTTATGATTATACTAATTCAAAGCAATCAAAGCAAAGCAAGGTATTACTGATGGTTACCAGGCTAATTTAGTATATTATCAGCTTTCTTCAAGCTCTATTTAGAAATAAATTATTACATAAGGCTGCTCAAAAGACCAAAAATTTCGGGATTTCACAGCAGAAAAAAAAATTAATTATAACTAAACAAAACAAAATTAAACTGCTATTTACATTCCATGGATTCTCACACGATAGATGAAGAGATTAAGAAATAGATTGAGTCGAAAAATGTATATTTTCAAAAGTTATCGTGTTTACCCCTCCATGCGGACTTGATAAATCTACACTATAGGCCACTAAGACCACTTTTTTATGTAAAATAACAATTAATCGACTTGAAAAAAATTAGTAAGTTCAACAACAACTTATCTTTCTGACAATGTGCTTTTTATACCATTTATATGAACAATATGATTGTTAGATAAGATTTCATGCAACAAAATGTAATCTTGTAATTTTTAGGCCCTAGTAAAACATACCGGAACATAAGGCGTGCAAAAACAGTGACCTTCATTCGTAAAGTGGATACCAAGTTTCGTCGTTAACTATTTGGGTTAAAATGAGACCATTTGTGAAGAATTAGCATAGACATATTCAATATGTATCAGCCTTTTGACTGCCTCATTGTTCTAGTGGTTGTAGTAGTGCGATCATGAGGTCCTGGGTTCGAGTCCCAGGTCGGCACAAACAATCAATCATTGTGTTATTCCGTCAAGAAATTCTTAGTAGCTGCCCAGAGTCAGGAAGTTGATGGTGTCTCACCCCATGGCTCGGAAAGCAAGTAAAGCCGTTGGTCCTGCGCCTGATATCTCTCCAGTCGGTTGTCGGTTTACCGTCCCATCGGATTATGAGAGTGAGGTAATAGAGTGCACTTGTGCTTGAGCATACACTCTGGCACTATAATTTTGTCCTGCGCCGATATATAATTTTAACAGACCATTTAAATATACCTATTGGAAGTACTGTTCGTATTCCTAATGATAATGTAAGATTGAGATACACCTACATAGTACACCCTCCGGCGACCACATATACACGAATTATGTATGGGTTCAAGTGTTAAGTAACTTAAAATCGTAGTGTTAAAAGTTATAAATATACAAGCAACTTTATTTGCCATAGAAAAACATAGTTAGTCAAAACGTAGTCTAAATAGTATTCACATTACATTACACCTATTTTTTTCCAAAATACATTGTAGGCTTAATGAAGTTTAAAAATTTCCGCTAAGATGTATAATTTATGTTATTTATTATAAAAGTACCTAGAGTTGTAATTAGCGTTCTTAACGTAATAAAGACTGTAATGTGTGTAATTATAAAATATTCTAAGGGTTTATAAAGACATATTCAAGGTTAATGAGAATAGCATGGAAAATTTATAACATATAGGTATTAATAATTTATTTTAAAACAAGGCGCTAGATGGCGTTTTTTTAATAATGTAATTTACAATCCTGAGTGCATATTATGTACTCCTAAATTTAAGTTAACAACACGCAACAAAATACCTTAAACTTATTATGAGATTTTGAAGTCACCAATTCAATAAAAATATTGGTGTCAATCAGAGCTTCGCAATGAATACCATGACTTCATTATGAATCGTCGTACCCCCCGTTACAAAGAAAACTTCAATTTTGTAGCTTCTAACTTCCAGCAAAACCTGGAATATGTCAAATCTAAAAATCCTGGAGAAGGAAATAATGTAGTCAATAACGTCGTATATGTCTGCTAAACGTGGCGATTGTGGAAAATTCTTTGACTGTTTCCATACAGAACTTTTTGATAACCCCAGATGTCCAAATCAGTTTTTGTAATATTCTCAATCAAATTGATTCATAATGACTAATTTTGGATAGTTAGCCCACATAAATAACTAATTATCCGGTTTTTCTTACATTTTGACCGACTTATCGCGTTGAAATAATGTGTAGACTTAGCGCGTACCGTGACCTTGTGAACGTCTAGTTTAAAAAAAAAAACGAAATATTAAGACAAATGCCATTCGGGGTATGTTCCGAAATACAACCCAGTACACTGGCCAATGCAAATGACGTCATAAACCGACGCCATATGTGTGATTCGTTGTATCGAATATGGTGGAATACGGCGTTAATTAATGACGTCATTTGCATTCGCCAGTATACTGGAAACATTTTGGAACATACCCTCGAAAACCTCTCTTCATCAGCCTAAGTACACTGTTAGGATCCAATAGGAGCTCACATTTTTAGAACCGATTGGCAATATTAGGGGTATATCTATACCAAGATGTTGCTTTGGGTGTTATTAAAAAAACTTATTGACATTGAGTCTTCCAAAAACTGCAAGAACAAAAGCCAAAAGAGTGACAACGCACTGCAAAAACTTATTGCTTCCAATGATTTTTTGAAGTTCCATTGCACAAACAAAATTATTTTCTTATTTTTGCACGCCTCATAAGCGAAGCGTTGAGGTTATGCTCTACGCTCACCTAATGGAAATCCAGAAATTTTTCTGAGCTAAAAATGTCGTTTATTTTTTTACTATTGTCCTTTTAGAATAATAAAAATACACATAAATCGAGAAACATCACGCGTTCTCATGTTTCTATTATTTTTAAAAGTAATTTTCTGTATTTAGTGTAAAAACAAACTGATTGAAAAAAAAATCGAGGGTGTCCGGATATCTGTATATGTGTGGATTGTGCACGATTACGGTCGTTAGAATTAATGTACCAAAATAATTTTTTTTTATTGGGTTTAGAATCTCAACGCACAGGTTCCTTTTAAAAATCACTGAGTAATTTGGTCTCGTTTAATTGTAATTAATGAAAATGTAAAAAAAAACAACTGGTACATATTCTCATGGATCTCTTCTTTCGTCTCAAATATGGAAAAAGAGATTTTTTTATCTAATCAAATGAGGTTATGAGGCGTGCACTTTTGGATTCCTTTTTTATTACTATTTTTAAATTACTTTTTGTTTTATTGGTGCTCTGTTAACAAGTCCTGACAAATAGAGCAAACTAACTCAAAAGTCCATGAAATGGTTAGAGCTCAAAGAAAGAGGCAGAGGCGCGTTTACGGTACACGGATGTGACGAATCCAAGCGGCGTGTACTGTATTCGGTGCACTGGATAGCTAATGTGGACTAGGTTTAAGTTTATACGAAAGCTTCTGAATGTCTCAAAAAAACGCACGTATAGAAATAGACAATGCTGTTGGTAACGTTTATGTATGGTAATGAAAATTGAGTGTGACAGAAGAAGCATGAGATCAGAAATTCAAGCTTTAGGAATGCGGTCATTAAGAAGTATGTAAAGACTCTGAATGATGAAGTCAATAATTGTGTGATAAGAAAGTGGTGTGATTTGAAAGATGTTGTAGCCACGATTAAGAAGAGATTGCTTCAGTGGTTTGGAAACGTTGATAACATAAAGATAGCAAATGTATGCTGCAGAAGTGAGTGATATAGTTAAGGGTCGACCTAGACGGAAATTTATCATTTAATTTGGCGATATATTGAACCTTTAAACTACAAGCATGTATGCATGCGGATCTTGTCTCTTAGTGACAGACTCTGGGTGACAGGAATGAGTGTTTATGTATGTGTGTATGTATTCTCGGTTTCTCCATTTTATCTATATTGCTACACATGCAAATTGAATCAATGCATACAAAATCGGATGCAAGATGACCGGAGTATAAATAGAACATATCTGTGTCGACATGGAGCAACCGGGTGGAAGCTGTACCGCGCGCATATTAAGCTGGTGACAACTGGCGAGAAGTTGCACAGGATAGGGACAAATGGCGTATTCTCGTGTCAGAGGCCAAGACCCACATCGGGGTCACTGTGCCATAGGAGTGAGTGAAATAGAGAATATTGATAGTAAACAAAATCTCTCGTGCATCTCAAATCTCGTCTTCCCGTTCTTATTTTGACTGCCGCTTACAGCGTTCCTAATACGGACTCAACGTTTTGATATGGGTTTATAACAGCGTTCCATTAAAATAACATGCAAAAATGGATCTGAATACGAACTTGAACCTGAGCCGCTAACGCACTCTCTTGCTCCGCTTTACGCTTCGCTTTCCTCTGTTTGTTTCTAAGTTTCTTCAACTCGGAGGGCGCTAGGTTTTCTGGAAATAATGAAACAAAAATATTTAATGGAATTTATTAATTTTGCAGATTTAGAGAATCCATAAAGCTTGTCTAAGATTTGCAAATATTTTTATACTATTGAACACGAGATGGCGCACAATCAGTTTACTCACAAGTAAAAATCACATATTTAGTTGCTGCAACATTTTTATTTACCCAATATTGCTTAGATGGTAGGTGGAAGAAGTTAATTTTTATAAAGTTTTTATTATTTGTAATTAAAATTCTTAATTAATTGTATTATTTAATTATTTCCGTTTATTTATATCCTCTAATCCTCTAATATGCATGTTTAAAGTTTTTATCGCCATCGCTGATTATTTGGAATAGACACAATATTTCAGTGCAGAGTCGAGTCGAATATTCTGTACATACATAATATCGAATATATAATATTTATCACACTCAACACGACAGTTTTTCAAGTGGAAACTCGTAGGAATACGGAAGTAATGAAAAGTAACTGATAGGGAAAAATGTTTCTTCAATAGCAGCCACGTGGCTACTTACTAGCTTAGTACGTACTAGTAAGCCAATTGTAGGGCGGTACTTCACTAGATGAAATGAAGAATAGGTAAGATATGCAGGTGTCTGAGAATCGTGTTTTGTGGTAAGGAATATCTATATCACTAGCCGACTTGTGAAGTTGTGAAGGGCTGTATGGAAATATATGGAAATTACCCTAGAAAAAAATTCCGGTTCCACTATTTTCTTATTTTATTCGCTTGACATATTAAAGTATATTCGTTATTATTAACCTCCAATTTACAGTTAGAAAACAGTAACGCATTATTATGCGTAGTTTGTTAACTAGAGTTCTAATTCAGACCTATGTTCGCGTACGCTATTGACCAAAAAGTAACGTAACACGCTATGCTATATTATTGCTAATCTTATGAGCATTTTAACTCATTTATATTCATAACGGCCACAGGGTTCCAATAATATCGCACGTAAAAGGTGCGAAGAGATTATTAGTTAGCAAATAAATATTATCTGACCAAAGCCAAACCAGTTGCGATGCATTCTATGGCTTTGGAAGGCGTTATTGCATGCTGAAGTTAATATTAAATATATTTTAAAATAAACCTCCTATAGAACGATAAAATATATTATTACACATCATTAATAAGTATTTAATGGCATTTCATTGATAACTACTGTAATTACAATATCAATATTGCAATTAAAAACTGGCTGAGCAAGAAGCTATAATGGTCCGGATACATTTATTTTGTCCTATTGCATCCTGAGAGACTGGTACATTTTCGAACCGACTGCCTCAGAAACAAGTTACGTTTTTCGTGTGTATTTATGTATGTTTGAGTTTCTTTGTGGCGTCCTGTAGTCCAATTTGAAACACTTTGGGCGGTTTAAAGCGTTTTACGAATTTAAAATGTTAGGTTTTTTTTAAATTCTTTATTGTAACAAAGACCATAAATAGCTCCACCAGAAAGGAGTAGGCAGTAATAATCTGTGTGAAGAACGCAGACTGAGTGAATTGCAATATTTCTTTTATTTTATTTTTTGTTATAGAGGTCACAAAGAATCATTAAGAACTAAAAACAAAGTGGACAGGATTCGGAAATGTCTGCGCTGGCGTATTGTCAACCACTTTCATTCGTCTTCATCTTCAAGCTATTGCTTGACATGACATTTTTCTATAATTTACTTGTTTAAAAGCATTTTTCGACGCGAATTAATATTACCCTGCAGCTTAAAACAAACAATAGAAAAACGAAGAAATCATCACCACCTTGCTCTTGCTGAATATGAGCTATCCCGAGTTTAACACGAAGTCTTGTATTCATCGGCCACATATCTCAACTCCATTCATGTTGGTTTTCTATTCTAATCGTAATTAAACATCATCAGCACTGGAGTCATCCAGTTTAGCACACGGGCGTTCAATTGTAGAAATGCCTAGCTGTAATATCTGACATCACGCACCTATGAGCTTTCTGATTATTCACCATACTATATATTTTCTCTTCTTTGAGTTTTATACACAGATAAATTAGTCAGAGAATCCCAATCTCGATCCTGGACCAACATAATAACTAAATAACTTACAAACGAAATTTATTATTTTCTGTAGTAGGTATTTATGGTCTTAACAGTTTGTAAAGTTTTCTGTCTCTTTGATTTAAATGGAGATTTATATATTACAAGAAACTTGAGCAAGGACGGCGGACAGCACAGGTATTTTAGTCTATGGGCGGATATTACGAAAATAAATTAAGTTTAATGTACGTACATATAAAATATGTATGTTTGCACAAACTTTAAATGTATTTCTAGTTTTAAAGGACAAGTTATAAAATAGAGAATATGTGACAATTCGAATTACGTAAAGTTACTCAGACCCTGATAACATATCTTGATTTTTCATTTAGTAAGGATTAGTCAATTTCTTAGAAAGGATGGAGGTTCCAGTGATTACTTATAATCGTGTTTGTTGTAAGCATGAACCATCAATCAATTTAATGTAGCTTTAGTATTATTAATTTCATTAATAGACTAGGTTGTTCGACCAGTCACACACAGCCAGTGTAACAACATATGAATTTGAGACTTAATCCTTCACTGTTGGCCATATGTAGAAGCTTAAGGTCACACAGCGAGCTATGCTCAGGATTTCTCTGTGTGACAGATATTCGCAATAGAACTGGCAGATCCGACGTAACCTAACAAATCAATAAACTGAAGTGCCAATGAGCCAGTCATATTATAGCTCGATGAACCAACAACCGATGACTTAGAAAAGCTCTCATGCTACAACCTCGTACCGATAAGCGAAGTAAGACGGCCACAGATTGGGGTAATCTGTGAAGACGGCACACCACAAGATGGAATGTCAGCCTAGTTATCGATAAATGCAGTTGGCTCAGGGTGTTTTTAGCAGTATTGGGGGGGGGGGTCAATAATATAAAGGGCTGTAATGATGATAATTAATAATAATTGCCTTACGTCTCACTTCGACCTCGTTTTCGTAGGATTGTCAACCGTCAGCAAAGATATATTTTTGTCAGTATGTACGAGGGCGGGTCAAAAAGTTGATGGGGTTAGAGAGGGTAGGAGGGATTATTTTTTGTTGTCACTACTTGGAGCCTCAATACAACTATAAATACCAAGTTGCAGCTAGTTCAGTTTATTAACCTTTGATATATCACAGAATAAACAAGTCAATCGATAAGTGAACACTAACTATGGAGAAAACTAAGTTTCGTGCCGTGATTAAGTTTCTCACTAAGCAAGGAAAAACGCCACATGTCATTATGGTAAAGATGTCATCTGTTTACGGGGACTGGCTGTGAAAAAAAACTATGATTTATAAGTGGTATATTTCTTGCCTTTTCAAGCAAGACAGACTCAATTAAAGACGATCAGCGCTCAGGCCGATTAATTAAAGCAACTTCCAAAGACAGAAGACAAAAAGTCAAAAAAAAAAACTTGTTATTTAAGATGCTCGTCTGAAGAAAAAACAGATCGTAGAAGTGACTGCAGTAACATCTAAGAGCGTTTTTAATATTCTCCATGACCATCTTGGCATATCTAAGTTACAGTTAAGTAGTTGGGTGCAATGAATGCTCATCTCATCATCATATATGCTGCTCTCACACCGCTTGAGAAACAGCACGGGTCAAGTGTTCGCGCGAGAATTTCGACCTGTGCAGTGAGATACAGGGATGACATTATGAACCGAATTTTAACTGTAGATGAAACTTGGGCTCATAACTATGAACCTGAGTCAAAGCAGAAGTCCTTGCAGTGGTACAAAAAATTGCAGAACCGCCTAAGAAGTTCAAGGTGTCACAATCGGCTGGAAAGATTATGGCTTCAGTTTATTGGGGTTCAGAAGGGATTTTACTGATCGATAATAAAAATAAAGGTCAGTATCACGGGACAGTATTACTCTGTGCTATAAGAAAAGTTAAAAGATGCATTTAAAGAAAAAAGAAGGAGAAAGTGGTTTCAAAATTCAACTTGTGATGGCTTTTATACAAATGCGGCTTCGAAACTTTAAACCACCTTCCCTATAATCTAGATTTGGCCTCTTTGGATTGTTATTTATTCCCAAATATGAAAAAAGAGCATCGGGAAAAGAAATTTCCAGATGACAAAGAAGTGAAGTCGGTAATTTCTACCTATTTTGAGGGCCTTAACGAAACTTTATTTTCGAAGGTATAAATAAGTTATTTGGGTTAAAAGAGAATATTTCAAAAGGAAAAATGATTTTATGTTTAATTTCACCCCACTCCCTTTCATTTCGCGAGCTTTTTGACCTCCCCTCGTAACAGCACAATGCTGAAAATGGCTCCCATTGAAGGATTTTTCTTGTTTCGTTTGGCAGTCGGATTGATGACTGCAGTACCAGACCAGTACCCAGTAACAACTGGCTAGTTTTAATGGCTGTACCTTGATTTATCGAATGACATGAGATTATTATATTGTTGACATTTGCGTTGCGTTGTATTTTATATTATAAATAACTTTTATCTGAGTATTGAAAAATTCCTTAAAAATCCAATGAGGCTTAATTTAAAGTATGTTTCCAAAACTAAGCAAATCTTCTATATTCAATCCATACAAACCCATTTAATATTGGTTGTCGCTAAATAATAAATGCTAGTTACTTATAATTTAATATTATCTGGGGCATACTCGCGGGCGTTGGGTGCATTGCACGCAAATCGAGCTAGCAGGGCCGCCCTATCGCACGAGCCTACATTGCACTAATTAAAATACCAATTGCAAATAACCAATCATGTTATGTAAATATTAAAGTTTAAATTCCAAGGTTCCAAAGTACAAACGGTAAAGCATTCATTACCAACCATTCGAAACGATCAACATCACTTGATGAGACTAAAGTATAACAATAAATAATAATATCCTCGAACCCTACGGCAGTTAAATCCAGATAATATACAGATGGAAAAAATAAAATAGTATGTATTTCCCTCATCAAACTACAAACTCAAATACACAAACAAATATGTTGATTAATGTTAAAACCTTAGTGCACGCCTTGCAATACATAACGCAGTGTTGGTACCGACTTTGTTATATGGCAGCGAAACCTGGGTATGCCAGAAGAAGCATAAAAGCAAGTTGAATGCAGTGGAGATGCGATCTCTTTGTAAAATGTGTGGCGTTACCATAGCCGACCGAAATCGAAACGAAGAGATTCGCAATATGGCAGGATTGAAAGATGACCTTATCACAAAAATTGATAGGGGCGTACTCCAATGGTTTGGGCACGTTGAACGAATGAGTGAAGACCGAATGGTGAAGAAAATATATAGAGCGAAAGTAAATATTAAAAGGTGTCGAGGTAGACCGAGACTAACTTTCGAAGACCATGTGAGCAAATTGCTCGAAGAGGGGAGGGTCAAGAGTACTCGGATACCTAGACGTGCATGTATGAAGAAGTTAATGAACCTGAAAGAAGCGAAAGAGGTATGTAAGGATCGTGACACTTGGCGATCTGTTCTCTCTGGCTACCCCGTTAGGAATTGTGCGTGAAGATAAGTAAGTAATGTTAAAACCGACTACTAGAAGAAAAAGGGAATATCTTCCAATGGGTTCAACGTTCAACCCGGGTAGTAGCTAAATCCACATGTGATAGTACGGTAGTTTTATATGTATAATGCCTAGTCGTACGGAAAGTTTCATAGCATGATTTAAGCTTGGGTCATCGTTCGCACGTTATGGAATTGCGATGACAGCGCCGACGCAAGGGTGACGGCTCTTCCCTCACCAACCATTATTTGAAGTGTGATGAGTGTAGGTAGTAAACTTTAGAAGTAATACTTAGCATTGGGTAACAAGGCTTATTTATAGCAGTGTACATAAAAAGACCGTGTATTGGCGGTGTCGTAAGAAGCGACAGAGGGATACAAATCAGGAGATATGCAGCAGCGTCTATCTAAGACTAAAAAAAAAACTGCGGTTCCCGACCAGCGATTATTCCCTATGAGGCAATCTATGGGAGAGGCCTACGTTCAGCAGTGGACTTTTATAGGTGGTAACGATGACTGTAACATAAAAAACAATAAGATAATATGACAATATTTCCTAGCCTTTCCTAGGCCTAAGTTTACTGTACTACAGTTCCTCATCATAATAGCCTTTCAAGGAAGGCCACAATGCACCGTCCTCGAAATAGAAAGAAAAAAATATCGAATGCCTCGTTTTCAGTTAAGTCTCCGGTTTTTTTTAAGTTTATGATACGAAACACAGCAACATATATTATTCACGCTGGTATTCTGTGAGAGCGTGGTCTTTCCTAGGTCGAACCGCATCACTTACGCTAAAACCATAATATATATATATATATATATATATATATTATATACGCAACGTGGCTCTCCCACGTAAACAAAATAATGAAGTAATTCCAATATAAGATTGCGATCGAGCATTGTGGTGGCATATTACGAAACCCGGAATCCTAAAAAGCCCTTTCTTCAAATAAAACAGATACAATTCAACCTGCTCTACATCCGGTACTTCATATTTATTATCTGTTTGCTTGCGGACAGATTTAGATCACCTTTCCAAAGCGGTTGGGCTTGGCCTAGCTGGCATTTATAAATAACAATATCGATTTCTATGTGAACTACCACCAGCTTATGATTAGGACAGCCTTCTATTCGGGTTTCTTCGGATTTGTCTGAACACCCAAAACTGTAACACATTTTATGTATGTAAAAAATGATGTAATAATGATAAAATAATACAAAAGTTGAAATTTGTATATGGTGGACTAATTTCTTGTAATAAAACTCAAGTGATCATAATTCCTTACGAAATGTTAAAGGGTTCTTTTATAGCATTGGGTGACAAACGAGCAAGCAGTCCACCTGATGGTAAGTGGATGCTGTGGCCCATAGACATCTACATTATCCTCAATTAAGAATAAAAATGCAGATGCGCTGTAACCCCTGCTGACTAAGATGCAATGCCTCGATTCCAATAAAAATTGTCTCCAGTTCTCTACACTCACCATACGAAACACAGCATTACGCTGCTATTTTACGCTGGTATTCTGTGAGAGCGTGGTCCTGTCCGGGTCAAGAAGACCCATTCATGCTACAACTATAATACAGCTGCAGCTTGGCTCTACCACGTAAATAGTAAAAACAGGTAACAAATAATAATATATAAAGACAATGTGGAGAATTTATCAAATAAATTTTAACAATTTTACCATATTCAATGGAAAAACTGACATCTCGTTAGCGCGGCCCCACGTTTGATTGCGGGAATGCGAGTTCTAGGGACCCTCAAGAAAAGAGCTTACTCCTTTCTAAAAGGTCGCAACGCACTTGCAAATTCTCCTGGCGTTGCAGTGGTGTAGTCACTTAAGACCAAATGAGCCGTATGCTCGGTTGCCCCCTCTCCTATAAAAAAAGTTCCACTCCTGCACAGAGCAAGTGTTTGTGTGGCCTATAAATTGTTCTATATCTGGATATTCGTTCATGTGTAATGTTGGTATCTAAAACGGTTGAACGATACAGAAATAAATCCTAGAGGTAGGTAATTGTTTTTTTAGTAAAAATCGCCATGTTAGGTCACCGACACCTTCCTGAAATTATTTGACACTTAGGAGCTGACGCCAACGCTACGTACTGGGAAACTTGAAGGTGGAGGATTTACTTAAGCTGACCGGCCACTCAAGGCATGAGTACGATAATACGAATGTGCATATTCATCGGATTAAAATGATAATTTGTAAACTTGACTCAACCAACCGTCGAGTGTACTCCATACGTGATGTCTAGCTCTTTCCTCATGAATGTTTTTAATACCGACCATGTAGAAAGAATCACGTATGAAACGTAAATCTAATAAAAAGAGAAATGAAGTAATTACAAATACGAAACCTTGAACGAAACGCAGTGGGTTAAGTCAAAAGAATAAAATGTCGCATTGTATAGTAGTGATGTCAAAGAGTTATCGAACACATTTTTAAGTATGTAAAAGGTATGTTTTTCCTTCTGATATTTTTTAAAAATAACTTTTTATAGCAATAGCTATGTTATCAAATTATTATTCGGAGATAATTACGTAATTTTACCCAAAAGCAACCGTAGGTTTCAGTAGGAAAAAAAAACGTGAAATATTCATAACTTCCTTTGCAACTTTCACTATAACATTGAAAGGAATGAAGAAATTTTAAAGATACGATAATTTTTGCTAGGTTTTATATAAAATTTCTACAGATTAAGAAGTAGCAACAAATACAACAGTATTCAAATGAACCTCTCCAATTTTAAAATGCTTATCCTAGGAATGGTTCGCGACAGTGGACTGTAGTATAGTGTAGCCCCTACAACTATATATATTTGTGTTAAGTATAGAATTAAAGAAATTATAGAATTAAGCGACAGTAGCCTAATGGCAGGGCGCGGACCGCGAACTCAAAAAGATCGTGGTTTCGAATCCGCTATTCAACTACTGGCGTGAACCACTCGTAACACAAGCAATTTAAGCTTACCACGAGTGGTTAGGGGGAATATTAGTAATGTTTATAGCATTGTTAATATTCTTTAAAATAATAATAATAAGAATAGACTAATTAAAGTCATAACAAGAGTAGCACGTCTCTCTTCTCATTGATACTTTTCCAACATTACAAGTCAAATGGCACATTTGAACGAGGAGCAGAAAAAGGTAAGGTTTTAAGCTCCGTATTCCATTTCATAGCCATTAGGTTACTGAATATCAACACCTGCAGCAGGTTTTGATATTCAGTAACCTAATGGCATGGAAAAGCATTGATGCGTTACAAATTTTTTTTAATTTAGTCTTAAAAAATCTTATTCAAAATAAAATGATTAAGGCGAGGAAAGGTGCTAAATAGGCCACTCCTATTCAATAACACACCTACACAATAACTTTTAAAATGTTTCTATAAACCATCACATCTTACTGTTTTAAAAAAAAAGATCTTAAAGTTAGTCGATATGACTTATCGATACACACATCTTTAACTTGGTCTCAGTGCATAACGCGTTTACGTAAGAGCATTGTGACCAAATAAGTCTAGGACACGTCGCACACACAAATTACTGCTCTAATTCACTCGGGTTTCGCAAATCTAATGAAACTGCGACCGTGATGCACGTCAGCCAATGCCCCGACAGGGGTCGCTAGAGGTCGGGCAATCTTGTAATTAAAATGTCCAAAATTGGCCTTTACATTTCTCAACACTGATATCACTTCACGAATTATTCGTTGTATGGGAACACGGCAAGTGATCATGTTATCACATTCCTGATTGCGCATACCAGCTCTTCACGCCCGCGCTTCCTTATAAGGTAACCGCAGAATGCATGGCTTATAGTTTAGATACCCTGTTAACGTGAAAAGTCCCAGAAAGAATATTCACGTAAATTTGCAACATAATTCATTTTAATTATTATTTATAGTACAAGATCCCGACCTGGATCAAATTTCATGATCAAGTTTTCTAATTAAATAAATATTTTATACAATGTAATGTATAAATTAAAGACACGTGGTAGGCTTGCCGCCTCCTATCCCAGTACAGCTAATTAAAAATAAACGAATATTATTTTCAATATTTACTGCAAATGAAATTGAGTCAGAAAGCGCGATGAATATGATAAAATTTGGACATTTTCAGATTAGCAAAATGCGACCACCGCAACTGAGAACTTTTATGAGTTATATTACTGTTAAAATTAAAAAAAAATAAAGACTACACTGAAGTAAGAAAGTTAAGTAAGAGCTTATATACGATCAAACCCAATGTTGCAAATTGGCCTTAAGGCAATTAAGCTTACTTTAAGTTTTTTGATTTAAGTTATCCACTTTTCTTTTTTTTTTCTTTTATTCCCACTTTCAAATAAAACGAATTGTGACCACTTTCAACACAATTATTACAACTGAATAAATAAGTGGGTACTTGATTCGTTTTGACGACGCTTCTTCAATTACAAGAATGTATTAGTAATGATTAATAGGCTTCATAAATGCATTATTATCAGTACTGGTTTGTGTGTAATGAAAAAAAATTTAAACGAGTTCCAAGGGAAGGTGCACATTGCAAATGCGATGCAAATCGAAGCGAGAGCAAGCAAAGTCAAATGCGCATCAAAATCATTAATCTGTAACTGATATATACTACCAATCCAATAAGGTATTATATCAACTTCATTCTGCGCGGTAGTTAACACTTAACGTGTATTAACATACAAGATACAATACAAGAGAAGAATGGCACGAAATTCTTACACGACATCACAATCACGACTATTACCTTTTTAAGAGTAGAAAAGAGGAAGAACCAGGGCTGAAGTTTCCCATTAATTCTAAGAGAGTAACAGAGCAGAAAAGACGCTACTAAAGTGCCTATAGACGTAATCGAATTGTAGGGACTGTTTTTCGTTATACGAGGTAGAGCCACACTGCAGTTATAATATATTTATAGCATGAATGGGTCGGCTCGACCTGGGATGTCCCACGCTCTCACAGAATACCAGCGTAAAATAGCAGCTTAACGCTATTGTGTTTCATGTGGTGAGTGTAGAGAACCGGAAACACTTTTTACTGGAAACGAAGCATTTTATTTTAGTCGTCAAGGGTGACAACGCGTTTTTATTCTCAATCGAGGATAGGTACACACATCCACAGTATCCACTTACCATCAGGTTACCGGTAATTAAACAATTATAAGCAACAGTGCTCTTAGGAAGCTCTTTTTTTTTTAAATAACTTACATGAATAAAAAATAATGCGAACATTGGTTCACGGAACGTACCTACGTAAACGGGTTATAAGGAAAAGTTATAAATTATAAATAAATTAAAAATCAAACATCAAACAATTCATATTTCACTACGTGTTTCATGCTTCACCAAGGTGAAGAAACGTTACACGCTCGAGTAAATAATACCGAGGTTACTCATATGAATTTTCCATACGCTGCAGACATTAAAACACAATGACAACATGACATGGTAAAACCTAACCTGATATCTCTTATCATCAGTCTATGTTCTTTTATCATATATGTATATATTTTAATTATAGTGTTTTAGTTTACGACTACACAACCTTAGGTTTATTAAAACTGTATTAAATTATAAATGTAATTTTATATGTGGCAATCAAACTAAATTATAGCCGTAATTATTAATATATAAATAATCCCCGTATTAAACCTTTTAAAACATTTTAAAGTAATTAACGTTTTTGTCCATATAGCTAGGTGACAAGCACGCAATCGCAGCACAAACTTCTGTGTTTAATTATTCCAGATTATTCCTGCTGAGAAAGTTTTATTCGTAGGATGTCTCCCAGGCCCGGATAAGTTTTAGAAAAAAAATTAAGTGATCTATAACGTTTCATTAGCTATATGTAGTTAAAAATTAACAATTTTCCTAGATCACCAATTTACTTAGATTGTTTTTTACTTTACTCTCCCGAGATTTCCTCACTACATAGTTAGTTACAGCCTATATACGACCTACTGCTGGGGAGTACTGCATATTACATACTGAAAGACAAATGTAAAAGTGATAAAAGAAACAGAAAACATTGGCTAGCCAAACATTACAATCTACAGAGCAATTCGACATTATGACAGCCGGCAAAACTGTTGGACAATAAGCTTTTAGAGCCCTTAGCGTGTGACGCAAGAAATAGACCGGATTCGTTCTGAAACCGG